GCAAGGAGTCTATCCGCAATTAGCGATAGTACAAGGGGTCTATAGGCAACAAAAGAATTACAGGGCCACAATTAATCCAAAAAAATTGAAACCATGCATCCTGCTCATATATTCATCATTCTCAATGCTTCAGGAACAATAAATGTCGAAAAAATAAATTATTGAATTTTGACAGTGATGACATTTTGAAACAATACATCCTGAAACTTAATACTACAGTACGATTTTAATACTACTTTGCCGTAAGCTTTTTTGGATTAACGATGTATGTCAATCTAATACACAGTGATTTTCGCAACGATCAAGTGCATATGTACCTGCTTTGCTGAATTCTCTTTTACCCAGTAACTACAGTCATTCATCTTACAAATGGGATAAGCAAATACTCAGCATAAAAAAGCTGCAAAGATGACAAAGGAGTGCAAGAGATGAGAGTTAGCATAGAGATGAATTGAACTTGTATGGAGAAATTAAACTCATCAGATTAAATTAGATAATTAACAACTCCATGGCATCATAATTACCTTCCAAACGAACATGTAGAAAGATGTTATAGCAGCTTTTGTCATCGAATCGAGAGATCTAGCACGATTCCAGAGAATTGAAGCAAGAATTGCGTGGCCTAAAATCTGCAGTAAAAGCAGTAAGGTTATTTTCAAGTTCTGAGATTTTGTAATCAAGATTTTATCAGAATTTATTAACTTCAAACCTAGATAGTATAATCAGATCAGAGCACCTTAAAAGAAACAATAAACTATTCCAGGTGCAGTACTTAAACTTTTTCTATTGATGATATTACGCAATCATCATTTCAGATAATGGCTCGTTTGATGCTCATATAAAACTAAAAACCACAAGAGAATCAAGATATAACTGAAGAAAAGTGAACCTCCTTCCGAAATTGTGAGATGTTAAGATATGATGAGGTGTTAGGATTTGCGCCTCAAATTCTCCTTAGGAATCACTTCTATTCGTGGTTCCGAGTTGAACAAGTATTTGTGTGATTCCTTGTCGGACAATAATTCTATTTGTGATTTCTAGTTCAACAAGAATTCTATTTGTGAAATCTCAACTATGATCCATTTGTGATTTCTACTAGAACCAGGATCAAATGTAAGTAAAGATAAATACATCATGATAGAGAGATAAATTTTGTGGTTGCTTGGGGATCTCTAGGATTTTAGAGAGAGCTTTGTAAGAAGAGAATTATTTTCACAGGTTCTTGGGTTTTTGTGGTATAGAATAGTGATCCAAATTTTATACTCTTTCTCGCATCATTTTAGTGGAAGTCTTTTGGCTGCTTTGAATAAATCTCTTTGCATTCTTCTTTATTTTGAATTCTTTACACATAAAGATTGCAAATTGGTTGTGGTTCTTGTCAGTGTGTCAGTGACATCCTTCATATTGAAAGGAGACATCTTTTCTGTGCTACCCCTAAGATTAACATTTTTTCTCATATGAGACCCAAAGTTCTATCCTATTTTTCAAGTGAGACGCCAAATCTTCGTATTTGTAAATTACACCGCCAACCTTAATGTTCCAAATGGAGATGTTATTTTAATCAATTTAATGGACTTCGAGGTATAATAAATTACAAATATGGGATGTTATTAAGAACAGCTTAATGGATTTAGGGTGTAAATTAAAACTAAGAAGATTCATAGATCTAATAGAAAAATATGATACAATTCAGGGTTATTACTAATATGAGAAAAACACTTAATAATTAAATAACCAAACAAAAGCACTGTAGCAGGGGAAAACGTTATGGCCCCAGGTTACGCTCACTGTTATGCATTTGCTCCAGAGGCAGGAAGAAGTCGCTCCAACAACCATTGCTACAGTGTAAGCCATCTCAAGTAGATATATACAAATCCAAAACACCTGATCACGTGCAAATAAGTAGTAAACATGAAAGAAAAACCCAATATTGCCTAATTTAGATAACAGGTTAAGCAAACAATCCACAGGATGACTACCTTTTTTTGGCCCAGGCGTACGCTGAACGAACGAATGCCAAAAATGCGATCACCATCAATATCAGGTATGTCCTGCACATTAATTACTTACAAATAAATAAAAAATCAAAATTCCAAAAACTATATTTTACCTGAACATTTTACTAGGTCAACTTCCATAACATTTTATAGCTCTCCATACACCGAGTTTTCAATATAAGGGACTCCATAATTGACATCTTGAAGTTTGGAAATTGCGAGTAAACTACCTTGAATAGTGCAATAACAACTGAGAAGAAGCTCATGAACGCTGTTGCAAATATCAATGGCCTTGAGAAGCTTGCTGGTCTTCTAAAAACAAAGGTCTGGCAAATTCACAATGTTACATAGTGCTCACAGATATAAGATGATTAGAGCTCCATTGAAGCAAACCTAAATTGTTAGTCATAACCTGGATACTTGATACACCTGAAAACTAGTAGTAACATTATATTTTTATCCTTTATTTGTTACTTATGTATCAAGCATTCACAAAATAGACATCATATAAAAGGGGTATCTCTAGAATTCATGTTTTAAAGTGAACGAAAACTTAATATCACCATCATCAAATAATCATCTAAGGCTTCTCCGACCAAATGGGACTATGGAGTCGAAGGCTCCATGAAAATTTTTGACAAAATAACAGTCAAATTTGATGTCAAGCCTTAAAAAGTTGGTGCAAGTTCCTAAAGAAAATATGGAGCTAAGAAAAGGAGGAGTGTTCCACAATATCTAAAAGGCTACTTTGCAGATAGCTTGAACTACCTACATTATGCAGTTAAAGCTCGAGTAACAAGGAAAAAAATCTTAAAATTTCATTCAAAAATTCAGACATAAGAGCGTACAAGAAATGACGATATGTCGTCATAGGGAATACCATCCAACTATAAGCTATAAACAAGCCAAAGACCAATTGGGGCACATCCCCAGACATTATAGCTATGCAGATCAATATTCATTGGGTTTGAATACTCATAAGCCATAATAGGATTAACTTGTTATTGTATTCCTTCAGTTTGACTCAACTAGATGCTTGTATTCCTTCAGTTTGACTCAACTAGATGTTTGTATTCCTTCAGTTTGACTCAACTAGATGCAGGAATAAAAATTAAAATATGTTGGAGAATGCTACTAACCACTTGAATTTCCCAATAGCAGATTAATCTGGTTTTATATTGGAGCTATAGGATTTGAAATTAGGCCCTTCTGGTAGGATCAATAACGAAAGTTCTCCTTATGCATACATATGAACTACTCATGTGCATATGAAAAATACTAAATGTGCACATGCATGTCTTTGTAACTACATATGCAAGTGGAAAACATTACATAACAATCTCATCTCCAGAAACTTACCTGGATGTGCAAGAAAAAGGCTAGCTGAACAATAACAGCACGCACAGCGAGGATACATATTGCTGCAACAACTGCAAATCTCTTCCATCTTAAAAATGGTAACTGCAGGAAAAATAGGTTTAAGATTATCATGGCACTATATCCATGTTTGCACACTTTATGGTGTCAAATTTAGCAGAAACGATAACCAGAGATCGTAACCTCTGTAGCCTTAGAAGATTATGTCTGTATGAGAAAAACTAAAGATCTTTTTTCAGTAAGTTAAAAGCTTCTCATTGAATACTTGTACATGCATTCACATTACATCCAACTGGATATATGTAACAGCTAACAGGTTATCAAACTTGAAAATTGCCTTACAGATACTCAGCAAGCTTCAATTGATGATGCTAAACACAATGCAGAAAAGAATATACATTGTTAGGCATATTTATTGATAATTTGCATTGCAGTCATTTGAATAAGTATATTTCTAGAGAAGGCTTGCATATCCCTCCCCCACCCCACCCCACCCCCAAAAAAACCAGGTTCTGTGTGTGTGGGGGTTGTGAGTGGGGCGCTCTTTCAGCCTGATTAGCAGGAGGCCCACCAAGTGAATGCGGCCCACCCAATCTATTCAAAGTTATATATATATATAACTTTGAGATAGGTTTTCAATAAAATTGACCGCGGGTGAATTTTTTCTTTGGTTTTGGCTGAGAGTTCAAGCGGCGGCTACAGATTCGTGCAAGCAATAGAGGGGCTTCTGATTTGGC